TGCCAGCCTACTTTGTCTGCTGATTCAGTGTTGGGAAATGTCAAGTCACATTTTGCCTGACAAGATTTCGGCAGATGGGATGAAGCACATCGTGGGGCAGAGAACAGACACGCAAGCTCTGACTGTGTGTCTGCAAAACTGCATGAATGTCGATGCGTGACTTCCTATCCGAGGTGATGTGTTTGCATGTGTTTGTGTTGGTCTGGGCCTCATGGAAGCCACCAGTCATGCCAGTGCATCTGCTTAATAAGCAAAAATAGAGGACATGCCAAGTTATTTTATTATCTGCCCATCTATGCTGTGTGAAAGATGCTGATGCATCGTAGCACCCAGAGGCTTTTACTGTGAAAATAATACCCTGTGACATGTTCACGTAAATACATGTACCATCTACTGCTATATCATCGCATCTCTTTGTTTCTGGTGCCAATTATTAAAGCAGAGTAATGATGGACTTTATGAAAGCTGATGTGTTTGCTGTCCTGAACAGTCAATGTCTAGACCAGGGATCTCCAGCTCTGGTCCTCGTGAGCTACTGTCCTGCACATCAATGGATCTCCAACAGCTTGTTGTCAAGTTCTACACAAGTCTGTTAATGATCCGTTAATGTGGTGTGTTGGAAACGTCTAGAATCTGCAGGACAGTAGCTTACGAGGACCGGAGCTGGAGATCTCTGGTCTAGAATATGTTGCTTGGGAATAATCCTTCCTCTCACTGGAGCTGTTTCAGGCTGCTAGAAGCAAGCATGAGCAGCTACAGTCACTGAACTGCAGCTTGAGCAGAAACTCAAACATCACATAAATAGAATTCAAAGAAGAAACGGCTTTTTAAATGTAATGTATAACTCAGGCTTTATAGAATTAAAAGCCCACTGATGACAATGATTTATTTTGTTCACTAAACTGTTGATGCACAAACACGCAGCCTAAACCTGAACAGAGCTGCACTGCTCACTGATTTGACTGAAGGGCCTAAAATGCACCATTCAGAGGCACCGTTCAGCACCGCCTGGCCCACTGCTAGGCGTTAGCTCCATCTTGTGGGCATCAGTTGGAAAACCGAAGAAAATCCTGAGCTGCAGCCGAGCAGAGACTTTTCTTTTTTTGTTCATACATCCAGACTGAGCCTGCGCTGGACTGGGAGATCTGTGTATCAGGATCAGTGGTGGATGATGTCTTCAATTTGTTCTATCCATCATTTTAAAACAGGATTCAAGCTTTAAAAAAAAGATGCGATTCTGTGCTTTTTAAATTTTGGATCATTTCACTGTCTTAGAGAAGCATAACTAACCATAAATCCAAAGAGATTGAGATGATTATGGCTTTTGTTTGTTGCCTGTAAGCTATTTATTTCAGTCACTGAGCGCAATTTTAAATATGTATAGCATATAATCGTTTTATTTAATCCGTTTCTCTCTATGTGACTGACAAATGGAGGATCATTCCAATCTTACAAATACATGTTTTGTGTCTGCGTTATAATTTTACACAAGTTCATTTAATTAATTCAGTAGAACTTAATCAAAACCCTCCGTGTGATGTCTCAAAGATCATGAAAATATCCCTGACATTTGGCACATGACTGACATTTACCCAGACAGAGCGACAGCGGCCCTCTCTGAGCAGCTGATAGGAACTATTTTTGGAGATGACCCCGAAAGATTGACAAAATGCAAATAAACTGAGAAGAACAAATGGATTTATGATCAATATTGGCAACAGCAGACCAGACAGCAGATGTCTGTCAAATTGGATTTTTCAAATTTGGATTTATTAGCCAGCAGGCGGTTTGTAAAGTAATTACATAAAACAATGCAAAGTATGCAGACTTACTTATAACGAGCCTTTGTGGTGGAGTGGATCTAATAAATGAAATGCACATCTTCTAACTCCCTGGGAGGGCAGAAGGACGATGTGGTAGTCAAAATATGTTTTAGGTTATTACAAGTTTTTAGTCTTTGGTGAAGGTGACAGAAACCTTTGGCTCATTTGGTTCATTGTGCAGTCAGGTTATTTAAACTAAGTCTGTGCGCTAAAATGTCCTTTAAAGATCACTGGGCAAAGGAATTAGTAGATTATTCTTTTAAATTTTACTTTATAAGAGAAAGGCCATTGTGGACCACATGCATGAGAGTTATATCATGACACTGGGTTTTTATATGTNGACGTTATAGCAGATCTGGCTGGTTTACAAATGACAGATTCAGGGCAGAGCACAGATCAGGTTATCAGATCTTTGGTACGTGTTCGTCTGGTTAGAAAGCGCTCTGATCGTTTACCACCGATGTTTGTTTTTCATTTTCAGTCATTTTTTCTTTTCAACCAGTTTCATGGATAATACTAAATCACAGCTGATCGAAAAGTTCTGAGACTTTTTTTCCTTTTTATTTTCTTTTTTTGACCTTTATTTTAGCAGGTAGAAATGTTTGAGAACCAGTTCATGATCTGGCCAAGAGGCACCGGCAGGAACAAACACACATGTCAATGACAGACACATAAACATGACATAGAACAAAGTAAACAAGTAAGAAGCATGGAGGCATGTGAGTGAAGAAAGATGTGCATGAGGTGTAAGAAAGTGTGTGTGTATAAGGATGTAAGTAAAGTCCGGCATAATGCTTGATGGCGAGTTGAGAGTGTTTTGTAAGTTGTTCCAGTCGTTAGTTGCTGCAAAGCAAAAGGAGTTACGGCCAAAAATAGTGGAAGTATTGGGGATGATGAGCTTGATGTATTCACTAGTATGATCAGAATTATGGGCGACGTGATGAAGAGAGGACAGGTGGGGAGGTGTCTGGGCCAGAACTGACTTCTAAACGAAGTGAAACCGGTGAAGTGAAGGGAAGGCCACCTTACCGGTTCATAGAGGTCTCACTGGTGAGTGTGGAAGGTGCACTAGTGGCAAAGCGGAGGGCTGAGTGATAACGAGCGTCCAGTGTTGGAGCACGGTGGCCATGATGTCGCCATGAAAAAGCAAAACCTTGTCCTTTCAGCTTGAAGGTCTTTTCTAGGAACAGGAAGACGCTGTGAGGAACCAAAGTAAGGTAGATGTGTTGTTGTGGTTAAAACATCCCTGTGTGTGGACAACACAGCTCAGGTCATTGTCCCTCAGACACATCAGGATGGTACCGCTGGCTTTGAGAACCCAAATCTGGGGGTTCACGGAGTACAACCACGGGAATGTGAAAGACAACAACAAGCCTGCTTCTGGTGCTCCTGATGTGATTTTCAACTGGGAAAAACCACCATTTCTTCTCCCAAAAATGATCCTCCACATGACAGTTGGCTCATCCTGGCTGCTGACTGACACAGAACATGATGTTTACCTTCTCTGGGGAAATACTGCACCAAATGGGAACCTACCAGCAGCCACAAANTTAACCAGTAGATCAGAAACAAAAACTCATCCAATGCAACAAACGTGACAACACCTGTGATGCACAATCGAGTTTTGATTTTGAGAGCTGAGGTTTCCAATCAGTCCAACTGCATGGACACGGTTATTAAATGAACACTGGACCTTTGTCAGTTGTGTTCATCTGCATGTCTGCATCATGGCTCACAATGGGGGAAAAAAAACATGCAAGAGGAACTGAAAAATCCGATTGTGAGACTTGACAAAGTAGAATGACAGCGACGGCACTCTGCCTGCACAGTCTGGCTCTGAAACACAGACGGCCGAGTGCTTCAGACTTGGCACGGGGCTTGTCAATGGAAAACAGAGTTTCTGTGACAGCTCAGCCAGTCTGAAGGACGACGTGTAACACCGACTTTTATATACAGGAAAAAAAAAAACCTCTTAGGCACAAAACTGCACGATTACATTTTGCAACAGATTATGAAGCGAAGCCTGATGGATTTTGGGAGCACATTCTCTGAGACTTATTTGTGCAGCTCAGATGGAGTTTGAACCTGGTAGAACCTCAGTAATGGAGAGTGAAAGGACTTCTGCTGCACTGAGTTCCTGCTGCAGGACCTGTATGTTTACTGTAGTTAATCTAAAGTGTTTGATTTTACTAAAGAGTTGCCGCTCTGCTGGTTGCTTGTCCAGGTGAACCTGCCTTCACCCTGAGTCAGCTGGGATAGACTCCAGCCCCCTGATAGTGAGGATTAAGGTGTATAGATGATGGATGGATGGAAGTCTTAAGACTACAACTTGTAAAGGTTTTCTCGTTGTCCAGGTGCTGAATAAGATGCACCGAACATTCAAGCTCAGATTAATTTAGTTCTGACCAGCTTTGGTGTCTCATTCTTTGCTTTTAATCCCATTGAGGGGCTTCAGACAGATCATCTGTCTGCGTGCACCGACCAGTGAGGCTCAGGAGGCGATAATCAGGACAGAGTTTAAAATCAAAACAGAGTAAAGGCCGTCATAGCTGAGCTGCAGACACCAGCTCGCTGATTATGCTTTTAAACATCACAGTGTGGGAGTTCTGATCTGTCACTGCTCAAAATGGCTGATGAACTGGGATCAGCGTTGTCAGTAATTTCCACCAAATGGCACATCAAAGCCGTAAACAGCCACATAATCAGCAGCTTCATTAGCTGCCTTTATTGTGGATGAGTGTGTGTGTGTGTGTGTGTGTGTGTGTGGAGTGGATGGGCTGCTGTGTGTGCATGTAGCCGTGGTATCCTGCGTTAGTGCATCAGCGTTGCACGAGTGATGTGTGTAATGTGTGTCGGTGGATGCGGCTCCAAATAGCCTAACAAGCCTTTCCTCCTACGGTTCGGTGCCCTGCGGATCGCTCAAACATTTACATGTAGATACTCAATAAACCACAGACCTGCACTCACTCAGAGAATGAGTCCTGTTAGCGGGCCTCTCTCTGAGACGAGCTCTGCTGCTGCTGCTGCTGCTGCTGCTGCACAGTGTTTCAGGCGAAGCTTCAAAGTGAGAGTGAAACCTTAAACCAGACCCTTCTCTGTCATTTTCCGGCGACTCTGACTTCAAGAAGTGAAATCATAGTGAAACTAGAAGGCGCGTGCAGGCGCAGCGCCGAGCTAATGACTTGTTACGCCATCCTTCACCGCAGCTCAACCATAAACGAGAAGACTAAAGAGAAGGTGGCCATTAAGAAGCTCCACAGGCCCTTCCAGTCGGAGATCTTTGCTAAGAGGGCCTACCGAGAGCTCCGACTGCTCAAACACATGAAGCATGAAAATGTGAGTAGAGTCCCAGCACGCCTCCTCCTCCTCCTCCTCCTCCTCCTCCTCCTGCTTTTAACAGACTGCAGGTTAATAGTACAACCATCATGTGTGTTAGACGTGATCGTATGCGTCACACAGTCATCCTCTGTGTTTGTCACCTTCCTTCATTCCAACCAGGTGATCGGACTCGTCGATGTGTTTACGCCTGCCTCCAGCCTGGATGACTTCCAGGACTTGTGAGTATTGTTTCGCTGTGTCAGCCGTTGCCTCCAGCAGAGTCAGATGATCTGATGACCTCCAGGTTTCACCTGCAGAAACACCTGGAGGACGTCAGGAGTGAGCACTGTGATGAACAATAGGTCTGTCTTCAGAACAATGGAAGACGGTGACGCATCAGGTCTCTCTGTTAGATGTGTTGTGACAAATCCCTGGAGCATCATAACACAACAAAATGTGAAAATGTGTTTGGGTCTCAGGACTTCTCAGGAAAAATATTGTCCCGTGTGAAAGAACCCTCCTTAAACTGGAAGCACACGGTCTCAGATATCACTGTGTGCTGTTTCCTTCCAACCCAGAGATGGATTCCCACATCAGGATGAATACTTTATGATCAATTAGTCAGTATTTCAGAGAACCAGAGAGTTCTAAGCTTTTTGTTGTGCATTAGTTGTGGTCTTGACTGAGTAATTCTCTCGTATCATGTGTAGAGTTTTCGTCTTCCTGTCCGTCTAAATATCTTCTCCGTTCTCTTTTTCTCAGCTACCTGGTGATGCCTTACATGTTTACAGACCTGTCCAAGGTGCGGGGTCATCTCTCAGAAGACAAAGTCCAGTTTCTCGTCTACCAGATGCTCTGCGGACTCAGGGTGAGAAGAAAATGGCCTTTCCTTAAGCATCAGAAATCTATTAGTTAAACTGACTGTGGACATCACAAGGTACCCTTTAGAATACAGCCGTGACTCGATAATCGACCCTTAACAATCCTAAACCTGCTATCCGACAGGTTTGTAGGAAAAACCAACAGAAACCATAAAAACAGCCTTAACATAGCGACAGCCTTGGATTGTGACTCCGACATGACATTTAATGTCACCAATCAGGATGACGGCGTATTATCTGACTGAACAATCCCACAGATTGGCTACGTTCACACTGCAGGACTTGATGCTCAATGAGGATTTCTTTGTGACTTCCTTCACGTTTCCACTTCAATGCGACTTGTATGTGATCTGCTGTGTGAACTTCATACGAGCCAAAAGTGTCCCGCATGCGCAGAAGAGGACACGACGACGTCACACGCAGCGAGCGTGCTCAGTGTTTATGGAAGTAAACATGGATGGTAACGGTGGAGCGTATCTGCCACTCCCCCGCCGCCACCGATGGAGGAAACAGAAGTGTGAGCGCTAACTAAACTAGCATCAGCAGCCAAGTACTGCCTGTGTGTTCTGGACACTTCCACCCCGTCAGAGCGCTGCCCCGGGGTGGAAGTGGTCAGAACGTGCACCAGCTCACCGGTCAGTTAGGCTGAACTCCAGCGATGTGTTGTGTTCTAACAACACACTAGTTATTATAACAACTATGAACAATAATTAACAACTAATGAGCCTTCCAGCATCAAGCCCTCCTCGTATCTGGACCTCCGTCTTGACAATCCTACAGCCTTGCTATCCGACATAGAAGAAGGTTTTACATTTAGTGTCAGATTATCGAGTCACGACTGTGTTACATGTGTGAAGTGTCTGACTCTAAAGGGCACCGTGGAGAGTCGACCTTTTGTACCTCACATTAGGCATTAAAGCTCAAACCCACGGTGAAATGTGCATAATTATAGAATAGTACTGCTATTATCATTATTGTTATTAGTAGGTATAATAGGTTGCTGGCTGTTTGCCATGAGCCAAAGTGTTGTGGCTCAAAACTTTAGTTATCTATAAAAATCTAACGTGAACAGGCTTATTCAAATACACAAACCACAAAACATTTAGGATGTGCCATAGAAATGTCTTTGACCTGCTCTGTTTGTCTCTTTTCAGTATATTCACAAGGCTGGAATCATTCACAGGGTAAGTCAGTACAGAGCCGACGTTCAAGTTCGGTAGAAAAATGTGCAGCAGCTTTGGGAGTTTTTTGGTAAATTGACCTTTACGGGGAAATTCTGCTGTGTGCGGTGGTTTTTGCTTCACGTTGGTCTGTCTCGTATTGCAGACGTGCGTTTCTCTTTGTGCTCTGGAAGTGTTTGTTTAGCTCATCGTTGTTAGCGTGTCAGATCAAACCCTGCCCCAACAGGTAGGATGAGTTGACTCCTCTGATGTCTGCCTACAAGTCTAGAGGTGTTAGGCCACACCTTTCAGCACCGGTGCCAAGTACCAGTGGGTGTGTGTGTGGAACAGAGAGTGTATTAGACCTGCACTTTCACTGATATGTCCCAATTCCCTTAATTGTTTGTCGATCCTTGCTCGTCAGTCCTTGCTTGCACCAAAAAAAACATCCCAGACCACCATCTTGAGGCCATTCCAAGCTTCTAGTCTCTGCTCTCAGGAGCAAAGAGGAAACCATCCTTCCCAGAAGTCTGGTATCAGACCGACACTCCCTTTTCCTGGGAATCAGTTAGCGATCGGACGTTATAGCAGATCTGGCTGGTTTACAAATGACAGATTCAGGGCAGAGCACANACATCAACTGAGATCATTTTTTCCACATCAGACAGTCTTGGTAGCTGATAATGGCAGAGTCAATAACATGGTGTCCATACTTTTCACTGTGACGGAAGGATCAGTGATCTGCTGCCACTATGAGGATCATATCTATGGTTTCAGGTGAAACGTCTCATCGATGAATAATCCTTTAACTTTAACTGTGGTGCCATCAGGTCAACATGTGAATTTCCATTAATTCAATCCAGTACTCTACTTTATGATCAAACACCATAACACCAATGGACTCACCAGCTTTTAGAGCGAATTCATTTCATTACACAAGTTATTCATGGTCTTCTTTACATGGAGGTTATAGTGTTCTGATCACAGCTAAACAGAGGCTGGTGTCGATGGTACAGCAGCTCCTGGAGCTCGAGTCGGGTGTTTTTGCTCCAAAAGCTGGCAAGTCGGTTTTGAAAGCAAGAAAGTTCAGCATCTAGCCGAGTAATGGCTGAGTCACTGGTATTGATCCATGGCCCTGTCAGCCCTCAGTGATATATGACGGCTATTTTGTGCCATCCAGCAGAAATGCTTAAAAACAGTGCAGTTGACTGAGGAGCAGACTGTTGCAAAGCAACACACAGAGAATCCAGAGACGCTTTCTCAAAGCTGTAGGCGAACAGTTCAGAAGACAGCTAAACCAAAACACATCCAAATGGAGCATCTGCATGTTGAATGTTTACCACAGGATGACCTCTCATGGCCCTCTAGAGCCTGATAATAGTCATGAAGAGCCAATTTTAAATCTAAAAATGAAGGAAATCAAACATCTTCTGAGTGATGATCCCAACATGTGGACTGTAAGAGATAAACACATCCGCTTTCATATCATTTTAATCACATGCTTAGTGGGATTTTAGGTCTGTGATGATTATGGATATGTATTGTGGATTTAACAACTGGATCTGTATGTTGAAGAAATGAACTTAAATTAGTTTCTGCAGGTGTTTGGCCTCTGACCTCTCCTGGACAGTGAAGCTCAAGACCAGTCCTTGGGATGGACCCATCAGTTATTGGTGATTTGAATTTGGCTCCAAAACTTTCTGTATAAAAAGAAACTCACTGAAAGGCAACATGGGTTCCTTTCACTATTTTACTGGGCTGTTTCTGTTGTTTTTTTTACTCCGGCTCTTCACTATTGTACTGGGCTTCTCACTACTTATTTTGGCCTCTTTCTATAATGTAATTTGGGTTTTTTCCTCTAAGTTCCTGATAAAAGTCTCTCGGATGTCCTATTTAAAAAACATCTAAGTGGTGCAAATGAGTGCAATTTTATTCATAAAATGTATTTATGCAACATTTGTGGTGCAGCCACATTTGCTATATTTTGGCTTCCTCCTTTTTTGAGTCCCACATATGAGGCCATTATGCTACTGTTTTTTTAGATACAGCAATGCGAGGCTATTTCCGTTGCAACAGTCATATCATCCTTTTTGACTTAAAACGCCGCCCCCTAAATATGAGGTCCAATAGCCTTGATTTCTTATTTTTAATTGTATCATCGCTTAATTACATTTTTTGATTTGTGTCTCCTTACATCCCTCATACTCTAAATAACTCCTGATAAGCCGCACAGAAATAAAACATACAGAAAGCTCACTTTAGTCTCAATGTAAGCTCTCAGTCTTCAACCTACTCATACACCCACCTGGCTCCAGTCACACACACTTGCTACGTAAGAAAGAAAGAAAGAAAGAAAGAAAGAAAGAAAGAAAGAAAGAAAGAAAACAACAGAACAGATTAAATATATTCAATGTAATGTTTGTTCATGTCTAAATGTTTAGAAAACTGTGCTTCTGTGACAGTTTTAAGCTAAATTAAGGGTTCTTAGATCTGCTCATGAGGCTTTGCAGCACTATACATTATGTCCAGGCCAAGCGCACATGTCGTGTCCATTCCTGTACGTGTGAATGTCCTGTTGTAGGCTGTCATGATTCATAAACTTCTGGCAATCTACAGCAATTATTCATGACAAGTAGCACCTCCTGTGTGTGGGTGGGAGCTAATGGAGTCATGTTGACATGTTTCGGCAGGCAGGCCGTCTGATTTCTCGCACCGGATCACATGGTTTGAGCTGTGTTTACATCATTTGGTTATTTTCCACATGCTAGACTGAACTTTATATGACAGAATATGTTTGTAGGTTAGACTGCATGAGACCACATGTTGTAACGTCCCCCAGGCTGCTGATCTACAGCAACAGAGGCTGCAGCTTACAGCATGGAACTGAAGTGCTGCCTGTACAGCCTGTAAAGCTGCCGGAAGCTCACCGAAGCAGAACTTTGGTGGTGTTACCTTCAAAATAAGGTTTTGTTTACTTTCTTTTAAATGAAAATATATTTATTACATAATAATAATAACAATAATAGTAACGATAATAATAATAATAACAAGAAGAAAAAGAAGAAGAAGAAGAAGAAGAAGAAATTTAGAATACTAAAAGCTAAAATTCATTTTTGCACAATGCTTTTTTCAGGTGGGTGGTTGTTTGTTCAACATGTTTTACTTCTAGACCCCCAAAACTCACCGGTGGGTTTAAATGATATGGTACTATTTTTTAATTTTGTTTTTTAATTACCAAACTGATGCCATCTCTCAGCGTCAGAACCTTTAAAAACAGAAAGAAATGTTGGATTTTAAGCCTTCTGACTGTAATTGAACTATTTATGTGTGGTTCTGTGGAAAAAATTAACCCATTCTGACCTTAACATAGTCATATTTAGGAGAGGGACAAGAACGAAAGCAAAGAGAGGCTGAGAAAAAAAATTTAAACGTATTGGATCAATAAAATAAATGCAGCACTGGCCTATAAACGGTGCACAGAGTAACACGCTGTTGGTGAAACATCTGTCTAGAGTTGATGTGCAGATCTTGGCCAATGGTCACACATTTAATCCGTCTTCTTCTACCTTCCTGCTAGNTGCACCGGGTTCCTGCTCTGGGGGCCTGTGTTTTTGATATAGCAAATGTAAATAAGAGGAAATGCCTGCTGTTCAGCCTGGAAGCGATGCCGACGCTGTGAGGTGCTGCCATTTAAAACGATCTGACATTTAACTGCCGTCTCACTTCTGTTGTCTGCTGTGTGTGTGTGTGTGTGTGTGTGTGTGGTGCTCATGCAGCAACACTCTGACCAGTTTCTTTGCTGCTGACGCAGATCCTGGACTTCGGGCTGGCTCGCAGTACCGACGCTGAGATGACAGGCTACGTGGTGACCCGTTGGTACCGGGCGCCTGAGGTCATTCTGAACTGGATGCACTACACCCAGACTGGCAAGACAATTGTAGCTGTTACACATTCTTACCTGCGTCCTGGTTGTGGTCTGCGTGCCGAGTCGGCCTGTCGGTGCTGTGGCTCTAACTGTTTGGTGTTCAGCTTCAGATGTAGCTCGTGTGGTACCTTATGGATCAGAAAGTTTTAGCGTAAAGCATGGATGTCATTCTGAAAAATACATTTTAGATGCTGCCTGATGGCGCCGAGGCTCAACGGCAGCATTGTCACTGCCTTTTCCAGGATTTATGTCCCTGTTGGAGATAGTGGTTTCTGTAAACAGCTTCCACAGGGTGGAATGCAGCGCTGACAGCAACACTGGCAGGTTTACGCCCCGCATAGGATAATATTACTCATCAGATTTTCCTCCCGGTTTGAGCAGCGCCACCAGTTCGGCTCTGTGTTGTGAATAGGAACTGTGCTCTGGTGTAGACGCGCCACCTTCCTCATTTCTCTAAAACACTCTTGTTGATGTGTGCGCTGCTTTGGGTTCTCACTCGTCTTTTCTTTTTTTCCTCTGGTGTTTATTCTAGTGGACATCTGGTCTGTGGGATGCATCATGGCGGAAATGATCAACGGAAAAACCCTCTTCAAAGGAAAAGACTGTATCCTTTCATCTGCCTCGTCCTCTCCACTATTAACGGATGATTTTAATATCGCTTTATCAAACTGTTGTGATGTTAAAGGTCATTAAAAGCCACTTGATTAAACAGTGAGCATCGTATTTGAGGAGGAGGGCTGTAAATGTGATTACAGTATATTACATGGAGCACAAGCGGTTGTGCTTCCTGAGGCAGCATCGAATGTTTTATATGTGTTTTATGTTCTTCTTGCTCCCGATACATTTACAGTGCCTCCTCATTAGTGCTTCATCCAGTGGCTGCCGTCTTCCTTTATTATTCAGTTTTATGGGCCTGCTTGGAAACCCTGTTTTCCATCGCTCACCAAACCACCAGGACAGGTTTAAAAATCCTTGACTGAAACCCCTTTGCTACCAGATATGGATCAGCTGACTCAGATCATGAAGGTGACCGGAGTTCCTGGACCAGAGTTCATACAGAAGCTGGACACTCCAGAGGTGAGAGACGTGACAGGATTTGTATGAACATTCAGATTTTAACACTTTGAATCACTTTATTTTTCTCTTTACCCTAAAAAACAGGCCAAAAATTACATGAAAGCCCTCCCTCATTATCCCAGAAAAGACTTCTCAGCGTTGTTTCCGAGAGCGACGGTACAGGGTGAGTCCAACCACATCCATTTACGTAGACGTCCACAAATGTGTTGTTTTGAACTTTTTGTCACAGTTTGGCCACATTCAGGTCTTTCACAGCTGACTGGGCTCCGGATTTGTTGTCTATTTCATTTGGAAGTACAATCATGACTCGATAATCGACCCTTAACAATCCTAAACCCTCCGACAGGTTTGTAGGAAAAACCAACAGAACCCATAAAAACAGCCTTAACATAGCGACAGCCTTGGATTGTGACTCCGACATGACATTTAATGTCACCAATCAGGATGACGGCGTATTATCTGACTGAACAATCCCACAGATTGGCTACGTTCACACTGCAGGNGTTGGCTCATCCTGGCTGCTGACTGACACAGAACATGATGTTTACCTTCTCTGGGGAAATACTGCACCAAATGGGAACCTACCAGCAGCCACAAAAACACGTGTAACCCGGGTCCTGCTGTGGACGGATCAGTGTCACGTGGTCTCATGGCTGCTTTGTGGATGTGCACACTGACAGCTAGTTGTTAGTTAGTGATGGCTATTTTATTTATTTCTATTTTACTACCGTTCTGACGGATGGAGTCCACTTGGAGGAGGCTATTCCATGCAGTCACTGACACAGTTTTCAGTATTTCAGTTCTGTACACGACCACAATGGATGTGAAACAACCAAGATGGCGGTAGCAGCTCGAAGGAAAATATTAAACACAAGTTGTTTTTCCTGAGTGAGCAGATGCTTGTCACGGTGTTGGTTTAAATATGCAGAGATATTTAAAATGGACTTTTTTCATGCTAGAGGACGTCACTACACTGTAGTCTGCACCCTGACAGCAGCTCAGGTTATATATGAAGTGCAGTCCCCAAAACAAAGCTGCAGACTTGAATCCTGTTGGTGCATCATCAACCAATGACGTCGCTGCAATTGGTAGTTCAGAGGAAAGTACTTCTAGGAATACATTTACTGCTTTTCCTGTCCATGCGTCTAAGTCCCTCCTACTGAGGACGTCATGACAGGAAAGCAGCAAGATGATTCACACAAAAGGCTTTTGTAATCTATTACATCCTCGTTTAAAGGCATCTGACTCTAACTCTGCAGGATCTGCTATTAAATCTGCATTTGTTTTTGCATTCCTTGCATGAAAACAAAAAGAAGTGTGTCACAGCATCTACTGGAGTTCTGCAGCGTGTTTTATGGACTGACTGCTTGTAGTTGAGTCACACCATTTAATCCCTGTTTAAAACACCCTCAGCATTCATGCACAGAGAACAGCCGAGCCGTGTGAGACCGCAGCAGCCACAAGTAATGAAGCCCTCACTGGCTCTAGTGCGAGCGTCGGCATAATAATTAGAATTTCTCGTTAATTACTGTGTGCAATAAGTAACCATCGCTCGTTTTCTCTTTCAGGATCTGAAGCCTGGAAACTTGGCTGTTAATCAAGACTGCGAACTAAAAGTATGTATTTCTGAGAATCACACAAGAAAACACCACAACACTTAGAATAAGAGAATCCAGCTGGTAATGTTCACTTTAATTAGCGATGGAGAATGAACATGTATGTCCAGTTGTCCACAAGATTAAACACCCCATTAATACAACGTATGAACAGATTTCTATGAAGTGAGCACGCTGCTCTGCAAAAATCACACGAGTGTC